CGCTGGACAAATTTTCAAGCGCCAAAATCATACGAACGTAGATTGAAATATAAAGGAGCCATCTCTGTTGTGAGTGGACAACTTTCAAAAACAAAGTTACAATGGATTTCTCTCAATTTATCGACGAAATGTTAATTTGATTTTTAAAATTTCAATTTAAATATTTATATTAACTATACTAAAAAATTATAAAATGAAAATTTAACTTGAACTTTTTATTTTTATTTCTTACATCACTAGTGGTGGATGTGGGTTGGGTCCAGAATAACTTAACGTAGGTCCACCTTTTATTATGTCGGTAGAAACAGAATCACTTTTTGAATCTATCTAAGCTTGTGTGGCCGTCCGATGTAGAATTTACACATCGCAATTTTTGATAAAATTTTGTTACACACGGTGGACGTGTTTCGGCACAAAGGCGAACGCTATTAAAAAATGTTCGAATCGACCACTTCTCACTGCGGGAAGTCGCAAACTGTATGATGGCTTGCGGCCCACTATTGTCTTTTAATATGTTTTACAAAATAAAACCGTACAGAAAATTTTGTGTAAAACTGAAATTTAATATTTATAAAAAATTTAGTATGAAAATCAGTCCCTTTGTCTGTAAGTAAACTTTCATTGTTACTTCATGTACTTCCAATATTTAAACATAAATATTATGCAAATCATTTATCGTAAGAACACTTTACGTTCATTGCATGTTATTGCATTTATTTCAGCACTTTAAATGGTGTTTGCCGCACATACATTAACGTTGTAAAAGGAGACAATAGAAGAAGAAGAAAAAAGGGGATGTATACTTGTTACTGACAGCCAACAACCAACAATAAGCTCTTAATGAATGCGTATTTTTGTAGTGTTTTCACTGGCACATTGGTTTCAATCCCTACAGTAGACATAGGAATATATAAACGAGTTATCACAAGTCAATGACAGAAGAAGGTATGCATATAAATACCTCTGATGAGGTTTCTGTTATATACGTGATATTGTTATCTGAGATATATGAAAATTTTACATCTTTTTTTACACACTTAATATGCTCTCTACAATTTTCGCACTGCAGCAATAGCTGCTATTGTTCTTTGTTATAACCTTCAGTTATTATAATTACGTTATGCAGAAAATTGTATAAAAAATTACTACATATATGTTTCGTGGAATTAAATGAGGGAGCCGAGCCGTAATGCATCTCCAAGCGTATTGGCTGCAGAGCCTGAAAGCGAACAGGAAAATAATACAAGAAGAGAAAAAATTACATTCGCCCTGAAACTCATCTGCGGTACCTGAAATTTATGTGGATTTATCACAATTTGATCGCTTCATTTTTACAAATTTGGAGGCGTGTCAATATATCGACTAACATTACTTTTTTTCTTTTCTTCAAAAAACATAGCATCGGCAAATTTAGGCACGAGTGGCACTGCGTAACCGAGTTTGTTGTAACTTCCGCTTACATTACATTACCTGGTCGCGTATTTTCATGAAACAATTTATTCTCGAATTTTGTTATTTATGTAATACAAAAAAAAAAAAACCGAAATAAGTTTAGACTGTAAAAACATTCGATTGAAGTTACATCTAACTGCTTCTGATACGTTCTTTGATTGGAACTTAATTACAATAATAAGCTTTTTATACCCTGTTGCGACTTTAATAGGTGAACTTCTATTGAGCGAGTATACATGTATCAGTTGTTACGTTTCTATTTATCCAACAACCGACAAAATCGTCTTACAATTTCAGAGCATATAAGTACTTCATAGCATTCTTGGGGGCTTTTACAAAGCTAAACATAAAAATAGTATACTTTCATTTTCCGTAGTTATAGTGAATAAATAAAGAAGGCACGGAGGCAGATATGAATAATTACAAAAACATAAAGAAAACATATGTAAATTATGTATACGCAAAAAAAGTCTCGGAATACTTGCACATACTTTTTCTCATCGACAACCACATGCACAATGCTTTAAAATTTTACTTTATAAAGCAAAATTTGTACACTTTCACCATTACCTTTTGAGTGGACAGACAAATATAAAAATAAACATAAGTAAATGTATATATATATGAATATATATAGATTTGACTTGTAGACTGGTTGCGCATGTCCAGTGACCAGAACTATGAATCGGACAGTTTGTGTAAGAGAGTGGATCTACAAATAGCGACAGGTGCCAACTTGATTTACCTATCGCCGTTTGTCCACCTTCTGTCTCTTGGCGGCAACTTCGACAAGCAAATGTTTGGCCCATGCTCCTGGCTCGGCTGAAACGTAATTATCCTAAATTTATTATGATTGTTAAACTGGGCTAAACACCAAATAAAACTGAAAATAATTTAGCTCGCCACAGCTTGTTATATTGAAATTATATTGCTTATCGAAGAGCTTATAGCTCAAAGAGAGGGGGAAGAGTTCAGAGCTGAGAGCGTTTCTTCTTATTCTAATATTTGAAGATTTAACGAAAGCGAAAAGCGCCGAAACCTACGAAAATGCTTACGGCCTGCTAAATTTTCCTTACCAAGTACTAATTTTATTTTTTGAGGAAGACATCTTTAAAGAAAAAGCGCCAATCGTTAAACTTATCACTCACACGACCCCGGTGAGCAAAGAGAGAAGAATAATGTATGATATATTCTTTGTAAAAGTCAAACTCACAAAATGTGTTGATCCACACATCTTTAAAAAAGAAAGCACTCGCCGAAACCGTTGACACTTGAGCAGGCAGGACAACGTAACGTCGAGTTTTCATGACCTATTTTTCTCAAAAAACAATCGCCCATACAAAGACAGATTGGGCTCTTATGTTTTCCGACAAGAGAGGAGGGAAGGAAAAATACATGAAAGTCAAGTGTTGATTGGTAGTTTACATAAAACTCCCGATCATGTATAGGATGAAACGAAGCCCCTCTGTGGACAAAAAGAATAGTATGACGATATAAATGTTCTCTAATTTTGTATGCGCGCAGAAGACAAATTCAGTAAATCTTCCGTCCTTTCGGCGGAAACAGTGTTTCTGTGGGAAAAAGAATCACACCCTGTACTATTCATCTGCTAATGATACGAAAATAGAGAAGAAAAATAGATGAAGTGATGCAGTTCTCTTTATAAAGATTATGTTGATCACCATAAGATTAGTAAGTACTTCTAGCTGAAATGACATGTGTATAGAATTTACACTTGTATGGAGATGTGACCACATTGTCTTTACCTTTATTTTTGAAGACTCTTTTTTTCCATAAATATGACAAAAGAGTAAAACAAAAGGGTAAACGTTCATTGAATCATCTTACTGTCGCAGTAGAAGCCTTCGAACGCTTAGAGCAAAAATTTTCGTTTACTGCCATTCTTGCAACAATAAGATAGGAGTGAACAAGACAATAGGATAAACTTGCTTGTTATATTTTACGAGAATTTACCCAATGAACAATATTGCACGTAAGACTTTTCTTGGATAATGATATCATCGGAACAAATCCAAAAAGATGGGTTAACAAAAAGTTGTCCAAAATAACAAGTCAACCTAATTCTTGAAGAAGAACACGCAGACTTACTCATGTATAAAATATGCACACACTTACGAATATATTTTAACCTTCAGTCAACCAGAGATTCATGAATACTTTTTTCTTTGAACCACAATAGTTAGTTCTCCAGTTCACATTTTTTTTTTGTAGTCGCATAAAATGTATGTATATAAATGAAAAGGTAAATAAACTTGATAAAATATGTGTAAAAACTCATTCACAGACAGTTAGAGACGTATTATAACTTTGTTGGAAGCAATAAAAAACAATGTGCAGTAATAAAGAGTTTATGTACAAGCAAAGTGATAATAACGCCTCCAGTTAAAGCGAAGCATACGAGCGAGTACCTGAATACATTGAAACTATACCTGCATACAAACGTACGAATAAATTTTATGCGATATCTATTCATAAAGCTAAACCATGTGACACACGTCACATGTAGCGCAGGCAGACAGATACGGCAGACGAAAAGTCTAAAGAGAATAACATTTTTGTTTACAATTATGATTTCATATTTACTCGTTTTTGTTATTGTTGTTATTTTTGTGTACTTGCAATATAACGGATACCGCATAATTGTTGTGCTTATACTCAAATGACGTAATTTTGTTGTATTGTTTTTTTTTTTTTCTTTTCAAAGTCATGATAGCATTAAGTCTTAAATACCGTCATGTAGATACATGTAAATGCTTTATTATTATGAATGACTGATTGTTTTATTATTAGCGTTTATTAAAAACGAAAACATGTCGTATTCCAGTATATGTATATATAAACGCGATCAACAAATTATATTTAATTCATTAAGAATTTTAAAAATTTTCTTTTTTTTTCGGTTTATTGTAACTTATAGGTACAAATAAGAAAAGTTTATATTTAGCTAAAAACGAATTTTGTGAAAAATAAATTCTTATGAGAATATGGCAACCGATCGATCGGGCTTTTTAACTCCCCTAGTGAATGTATGGGTAACTATCTGGCTTTAAAAAAAGTCGTCCAGCAGTCAGGACTTTTGCGTGAGCGCATTTATGGGCTTTCCCAGTTTCTTTCCCTTTTCTAAGTTTAAGATGATCTTAAGGTTTAAGTGAGCCTAAAGTCAGTACACTACCCCAGTTATACAGTTTTACAGTTCCTTTTTATACCGCATACCAGAGGTGGCATAAGAGTATATTAAATTTATGCGGATGTATATAAAACACAGAAGGACTTGGGAAAGACCCACTCAACAACACTTTTTGAATCTATCGGTTTCAAGCTGTCTGCATTACTTTGCAAAGTTGTAATATGAACTACTGACTCAAGCGAGGCGCTGTAGGCTATTTTACTGTAACGTGTTTATTGGTTTTTTCTAATAAATATAAATTTTATTTGTTACGTCTTCCTTTAATTAATTTGGGTAAAATTTTAAATTGAATCATGTGGGTTTTTTTGAAAGTTGAAATTTTCGGGTTTGAAAATTTATAAGAATTTTTTTTAATCATGAGCATGACAGCATTGATGACTAACTGTATCAGTTTGTAGCGCTATCTCAATTCTTCGGGCTACGATTGTTCCAACAGGTAGTTAGATGGACAGACTTGTAAATTTATTTGAATGACATGGACAAAGAAATACCTATATAATATATGTACATATGTACAATAAATATGTAATATATGTACGCATACACTGCCTCATTTCGGAAAAAGGGATGTATCCTCACCTTAGGCATTGGTCTCTAATTCTTTTCCTCTATCTTAGTTGCATCGTTAGTCAACGTGAACAAAGTAATAAATAGTTTTCAAAAGTTTAAAACTAAGTAGCGCGTAGAGAAATTTTTAATCATCTAACGCATTTATACCTAGCGATATTCTCCAATACTGGTGTACAGAGTGTCGGGTGTTGTTTATATTTTCTCATCCTCTTAAAAACCATATTTTATTTATTAATATGTTTATATCCTACACCACTTGTGACACGTGGGTATATTAAGTTTATCCCTATGTATGCAGTGTAAAATAGAACTTAGAATAGATCGATACTTTACTCTACCGATCTAAGATCGTCTGTCTGTGTGTCTGGTTTCCTTGTGGCCAACATATAGGCCGTAATTTGTGAATATTTTGATGTGGAAATAATTCAAATCTGGCCACTTTTTCAACCACTTATCATATAACACCTTACCTTGAAAAGTCGTTATATTCATAATGGTACGATTGTGCAGGATATTTCGTACTGGACCCTGCCATGCTATAACGCTTTTACTTTTTTTATTTATAAAAATATAAAATTTTTATATACGTAGTACGCCTTACAATAATATGAAATTTTTGTACACATTTAGACGTAATTAACTCACCATTCAATAAAGTCATAAGAATGCAAGCAGAAGTTTACGGTTAGGTGTTTAAGTCACGTTACAAGGAGAATTCTGATTTACCATTGCAGAAATAGTCTCATTAAAGGAAATATAAACTTATGGTCAAAATGTCATGAAACAGATTGACTTATTTCTTTTGAAGCTTATCTAAAAATCATATGAGGGTTCGTCAACAGTCAGCCTACATCTCTATTCCATCCTCGGAGCATATTAAATAATGTATTTAATTGCGCGAGGATACTGTACTAGCACTACGTTGTTTAATCAGGATCCTTTTTCACTTTTGGAATTATCTACTAGATACCTATGCGAAGTATCTAAGATTTGCTTTAGGATAAGTTTCCTCATTATTAACATTGTAATAGCATAAGAAATTTTACACTCACAACAAAGTTTATCTGATTGAAAAACGTATTCTATCTATCTATAAAAGTTATAATTAAAAAAATTTTTTTTTCTTAATTTAAAACATCGAGTACATTAAGCTTAAAACGATTTTTTTTTCTTTTTTCTTTTTAGAAATTATTTCATTCATTTAAGTTACTACTCATTCATAAATTGTTGGCCATATGCCGGCAATGCTTCAGTAGTAATACAGTAAAGCATTATCGCACGCGATTTAACAATTTATATTACTTTGTCTCTCAAAACTTTAAATTTTTATTTAATTCTTTAAAATTTCAATGTTAGTCTTTAATTTTCAATTTTGGGAAGAGTTGCCTTTACGTTACCTAAGTGGAGGTTTCCACTTTACTTGGAGGGTTTGGCTACCGTACGTGGGTTTGCCTGTTGTACAACATATAATTATTTCAACAATTAATAATAACTAAACACTTATGCACACATAAGAGGCTGGGCGGGCTGGACGGGCTGAGCACGTAAGTATAATTAAACTATTTTAAAGGTATAATGAATATTTTTAGTAAACTGAATCATTATATACCACTTAGTGCAGTGTATATACACATATACATATATGTATTATTATAATACAACTGTAATACGTGATTGCGTGTGTGTAAGACCATTAAAAAAATATATTAATTAAAAACCTTTCGTTTTTCAATATTTAAGAAATAATGAATGAATTTTTAAGAATTGATCTCGATTACTACATCCATCCTGTAAAGTACATTTATACTCTTATGAAGGAAGCTTTGAGATTAACTCTTGTTTCTGCCCTTTGTTCATAGGTGAACATTCATTGATAGTTTCGCGATGTGAAACGCCATTAGTTTTATGTTTATGGTCCTTTCTGAAAAATCCGTGTAAAAAAGACTAAAACTTATGTGGATCGAAAAGTGAACCCTTAATCCTGGCTTCAATTCCCCTTTCGCTTAGACCCTGCAAAATTTGTATCCATAAGTCTGATTCTTTAAGGTGGCTCATCTGCGTGGAAAGCTAACAGCTGGGAAAAGATAAAAAAGACTCTTATGTGTCTTCTCAGTCTTCGTGCAATTATTAAAGTTTTTTTCACAGGTTTGATATAAAATACATCAAATGGTTTTTTGTACGAGCGATATCTGCCAGAAAAAACTATTTGAAAACACATTGCGTCACCACTTATCGAAAAGTAGATGAATTATTTTTATTTTCATTTCCTCGCAATTTAATGAGACAAGTTTCTTCACAGTTTCTATTTAAAGCGATGCGTGTCTGCGAAAGAACACATTCAAAAAGAAAAGATGTCGCGTAAAGAAGACACATCGCGTTTCCGCAGAGCAAAGTAAATCTGTAATGTTTCTTGACTCTTGTACGTTACATGTACATTTTGATCCAAGAAGTAACTGAAATGTGCTGGTCTCCGTCAATTTTTGGTCGTCGAGAGTGCGGCGAGTCGTCGACATCGACGAAAAACGAAACAACCATTCACATATTATTGGCTTTGCTTCATCCTAAACGCCACGAATTTTTTCTTAAATATCCAGAACATAATCACTTTGGTTGACATCCTATTAAGTAATATATAGCGAATATGGTCTCATTCTTCAAAAGCAAATATTGGTAAGTGTATTAAGTGTCATAGTGAGTCTAAATGCCACAACGACTTTTTTTCGAGAACCAATGGAGCGTCAAGTCTCACAAGAGCCATAGTAAATCTTAATCAGGTTAGAATTGCTAAAGGCACTCAATTCTGAAATTCTCCATTGGAAAAAGCGCCATGAACTCCTTTCCTAACGGCTTTTTGGCCTTTTAGTTTGTTACGAACTGTAAAATCTGCTGTAACAACGTACAGGGAAAAATTTTAAATTTTGACACATCCAGAACTCTTTTTTTAGGCTGTTTAAACTGCTGTAGTGTCCACCTTAGAGAGGAAGTTTTTAAGAAGATTCATTTTGTGACTAACTATTGCAGTATATATGTCCTTCTAAAATTAGGCAAATTCAAAGATCGCGTTTTCTTCTGCCAATGCCTACACATCGGAAGTTCTTTTGTCTAGGGTATCAGCGCAAAACACAGAATGTAATGACGGACCTAACCTTGTAAGTAGCAGTACATTCTCATCATTTCTTTTTAATATAAAGACAAAGTTTTCCTATGAGCATTGAAAGCATCTTTTAGAAGAAGTTTAAGAACCAGTCCAGAGTTCTCCATTTCGCTTCTCTCAATGTTCTCAATGTATACACAAAAATAGACGATCGATTCGGTTCATTAACGAAATATCAGCGGATTTCCTTGCTTTTAATACGCAAATGTTTTCCTACACAAAAACCATTATCTTTGAGGTAAAGGTTCCTTTATTTAATATTAACATTCTATTAAGCTATTGCGTTTTCCCAGGCAGTAAACCGTGCGGATCCAACTAACGTGATATTGAAACTCGGAGTATGTTTTACCAAAAATACGTTTTAACGATTACATTAATTAATTATAATTAATAATTTTATTTCAATCATCATAACATAACAGGCATAAAAACGTTCCGTGGTACAATCCTTGGTTAAAATTGTGGAAATTTTTTAAATATTTTCTGAATTGCTGTTACTGCTGTTAGCAGTAGGTGTTAAAACGCTTGCTCGTAATTACATAAATTACAAATAATTTTTTCATTGTTGGTTCACAGAAAACATTCCAGTGCAACTAATTTAAATTGTTACACAACCTTTCGCGTTAACGCGTTCGTTATCGTTATCGTATAAAAAACAGAAGTTAAAAGCTTTATGTAAAGTTTTATTGTAATTTTATAATATAGCGTTTGAGAAAAAAGAAAAAAAAAGAGCACATGCGAGTAAAATCTCGATATGGTTAACATTTACAAATCATTAAAATGAATCACTTGATTATATGGGTGCTAATGTGAGACCCATTTAAAATATATGCACAGATGAACGTATGCATATGCCTGAATATGCGAAGATGGGTATGCTGGTTAATAATGCGGATTTTGTTAGCAAACAAATCACAATCATCTCATGACAAGCGTCAACAAGAACATTTTATTCAAATGAAAATTTAATCTCGCGTGCCATGGAAATAACTTTTCACCGATGAGGATGGATTTTGATTTTTATTTGATTTTTGTTTATTTAGTTCCTATTGTAAATCAATTCCTTCATCATCCATTAATTGTAAGAATAAAGAAATTGACCTCATACGAAAATTCATTTAAAAATACTTGCAACGAGAAACGCTTAAACTTCAATGCGGGCATTGCTTATTTTAATACCCTACACAACTTGGGGGGAATGCATACAATATCCAGATGGACTTCGGACAGATCTATTTTCCATCACTATACCAATCAATTCAAAAAATGATTTAAACTTGTGCATCCGTCTGTCCGTAACGTTTGCGTTTCGTCCACGATAAAACCATCTTTTGTTATACCGATTCAGAATCATAATTTGAATCGATCGAAGCCTGACTGTCCCTCTGTCTGAGGTCTGCTCATGTAAATCTATGGTCAAGCTTGAATTATTTTGATGAAATTTGGTACCCAAAGACATATGGGACCACTTTCCATATAACAATCCACTTTGAAAGCTCATTCTATGAATAATTGTAGTGATCGTGTAGAGTGTAGTAGATCGTGGCCCACCATAATGTGTTTGCTTGTTTTCACATCGCAATCTTGAATTTTCACGCTATGAAGTCGCAAATATCTCGAAATGAAAGGCGTTTACTATACGTTGATAAGGAGAATAATTTTGCCTAGAAACCCTTCTCTAACGTTTTTTTTCGCCACTTTTTTGGGGAACTTTTTTATCGTAAAAATATCTTTGATGTTTCCGTTTTATGGAAAGAAACTTTCATATCCAATATCAATATAAGAAATTAACAAATACTTTAGCTCGTACTACTTATATGCGAGCAAAGTCCGCATAATTAATTATCACATCTAGTGATTTCTATCTCTGCATTTATGTGTCATTTATGTTGCTGTTGCTGTTGCTGTTGTTCTTGTTTGCTGTGTATACTTAAATATAAATTTATTAGATTATGTCACATAAAATTCATTTTTAAAATTCTCCCCGCGATGAGATAATACAATCATTTTTTTTCCCATACATTTGCAAAAAGTGATGGATGCAGCAAAAAGACAAAATGAAGCAGAAAGTCGCAGCAGCAGCGGCCATGAATGTCACTGTTAATGTTTGATTATTTTTATTTTTGCTGGCGTTCAGCCAAATTTCATTTTGATGACAATGTCTTTACATGCAACACAAAGGCAAATGCTTACGTTTATGCTCGTAGATCAAAGCACGCATTCGCGGAAATATATATGCGTTTGAATGTTATTAAGAAGGAAAGTGAACATTTTTGACATTCTCTGTCGAAGCAAGTGTCTACCGCTCACTATTGAGTACAGTTTGGCGAAATGATTGCGCAGAAAACACATATTCAATGAAATTTGAGTTAATAACATTTTAATAAGTTTTTTGCTCTTTTTCAATTAGCTTAACGAAAAAAGGGCAAACAACATTTTTTATTTTAAGCGCAAAAAAAAACAGATGGGTTCGAGTTTAATCCTATCAATCAAATGCAAATCTCTGTCTCTCTGTTCATCTTCTATTATGGTTAAAATTCTCGCCAAAGTCGCTAAAGTTAAGATCGAAAATTGAGAGAACAAGTCTCTGAGCCCGATTTTATGCGTGTCGTAAAGATGGGCCTACTTTCTAAGTTAATGTTATAAGCATTTGAAGGATTTAATAAAAACTACGCTTTATGCGTAAAATATGAAAAAAAAGCATGGCAATGCTATGACTTCAAACACATTCTCGAGCACACTAGTATACATTTGGTTTAATAATTTGCATTTTGAATAAGAACATTAAACAATATTAATATTAAAATGCAGAGTTGCCCAATCAGTGATAAATTGGAATTTCTAACACCACAGTAATACTTATCAAAACTTGATACAGTAACTTAAGAACTGAATTTTTTAAACCTAAAGTCTGCCCACTGGGCGAATGGCGTAGGGAAGGACAAAAGTCGCTTGTAGTTCCTTGTGGTGCAGCACTAATAAAATAGTTCACAATTGCCGGGCACATAGGTCTTTCGGTTAAGCAATATAGAATCAAAAGGCATACAAACGTATTAACAGACACTTAAGCCAATTGAGTGCACCACAAGCCCTAATGCAGAGTTCTTTTCACTTAGCATTGCTCTGTGCAAAAAGTAAGGGTAATTTTTGCATTAAAAATAAACGCGCTTCGACGCGAATATAAACTTTTTCATTACGTTAGTTTTAAACTTTATTAACATTTGGTGGTATTTTCATGCCGTTCGGTCCTCTAGTTTATAAAAAATAGTTTAATCTAATTTTAAAATAAATATTCCCCTTATTTTTTGAACACATTCTTACTTCTTTGGAAGGCATTTCTGCATTTGGACGTGAAACGTTCTATACAGGTTCTTATTCAAGTAGGTTACAGTAAGCATCTATGCTGACCCGATTCATCCAAGTATCTCTCTGAAAATGTATTTTATCAAGAGTCAACAGATGTAGCCAATAGTTGATTGACCAAAACATGATTTGTGGAGTTCTAGAAATCCCTGAGATGTAAAAGAGATCGATCCACGTTAAAAAGTTTCGTTTAAAATCTGCTTAATAGAACTCACAATAGAGAGAAATTATTCGCGACATTTAACGAAGCATAACATGAGGACCAAAAAGAGGAAGAAACTTTTATTCGTATTTGGATAACATTATCTGATAACATTTACTTGGCTTTTGATAAAAGACATTCTCTTTCTAGGAAACTTTAAAGCCTATCCTAAGAATCACTGGCATTAGCTAACCGTGTAAAAACATTCATATGACATCAGCACCTTCTGTATTTGTTAAGCATTTTCTTGCAAATTATACACGCGTGCATACCTGGGTATGTATATATCACGTACACACGGACTTGCATTAGCAACAACAACAATAATAACAAAAGCAACATTAATCGCAACTGTAAGAGAAACAGTAAAAAATGCAAACTAAAATTTGCATTAAGCTAACGTTTGGACTTTTACGACTTGTACGACGACAATGGCCAACGTGAGCGATAAGCATGAGTAACTGTCGGACGTTATTTGAGTTAAAAATTATTATTGACATATTTAAATGGCTTAAAATTACTCATATGCTTTCATATATATATATATAAATATGTTTGAATGATTGTCCAATATCCCGATAGGTGTGTACTTAAATATCGGTTTTTCTCCATTTGCGGCGTTAACTTTAAAGTGGGTAAGTGAAAAAACTTGGCAATTAGTGATCACTTTGTATGCACTTTAATTATAATGGCGTTAAATTATATATATATTTAATATTTGAAAATCAATATTTAAAAAGTTGAAATGACTAAATGAATGATAATAACGAATATACTTAACTAATAGAAAAATATTCAAATTTTTTATGTTTAAGCGCCACGGTTTAGAAAAAAAAAAAAAAGAAAAGCAAACAACCTACTCACTTACAAACTCATATATGTACTTAAGCAGCGAACACACTCCGAGAGACTAATAAATCACTTTAACATTTATTCTCTTTTTTTTTGATT